TCAATCAGATTGTGGCTATGTCTGCGTGACCGACAGCACCCAAGAGCTCATCAAATGTAGTTTTAACGGTTGCTTTCAGTGGTGTATTTCTGAAAACATGCACCGCAGTTTGGATGTTATGCAAAACACTTTTCTCATCGGTGTGTACAAACGAACGCTCACGCAGGCCGCTGATGTGTGGAAACAAGCAAACGTTTATAGGTCTGTTTATATCCAGGAAGGAATGTGAGCCGTGTTGTCTGCATGGAGGGGAAGTTTAGCACGTAGGCTTGAACTCGGGCCTTAAACGCGCCTTTCCCTCGTCTCCGCAAACCACCCGTGTGTGTGTGTGAGGCAACTCTGAGCTTCCCCTAACAACTTCCAATGATTGTTTAACCATACAAAACCAAGCCAAGAGTTCCCAGTGCACTTCAGATAATGGATGGGCAGCACATAAAAGCTCTGAGAAAAATTTGTTGCGCAAGCCTCAAAAGTAAAAAGAAAAGACTGACTGCACAGTCCCAGAAAACACTGCAAATGTTCAATCATATCGTAATTTCAAAACCGTTTACCACACATTACAGAGATGGTGATGGAAAATAGCATAGGAGGAAAATAGTTATTTTAATGCTTTTTATTTTCCTCCCAAAACTTTTGTTCCCCTGAAAAACTTTGCGTTCATTCTCAAAAGTTTTGTATTCCATACCCTGGAGCACAAAAGCAGTCTTAAGTCGCTGGGGTATATTTGTAGCAATAGCCAACAATACATTGCATGGGTCAAAATTATCGTTTTATTTCTTTTATGCCAAAAAACATTAGGATATTAAGTAAAGATCATGTTCCATGAAGATATTTTGTAAATTTCCTACCGTAAATATATCAAAACTTCATTTTTGATTAGTAATATGCATTGCTAAGGACTTCTTTTGGACAACTTTAAAAGTGATTTTCTCAATATTTAGATTTTTTTGCACCCTCAGATTCCAGATTTTCAAATAGTTGCATCTCAGCCAAATATCGTCCGATCCTAACAAACCATACATCAATGGAGAGCTCATTTAGTCTGTTTTTAGATGATGTATAAATCTCAATTTCGAGAAATTGACCCTTATGACTGGTTTTGTGCTCCAGGGTCACATATATATTATAGGGGTGACATACCACATCTAAACACACCTGAAATCATGGTTGCTAGCTACAGTTAAACCGTGGTAACTACAAATTAACCATGGTTTCGCTACACTAACCATAGATGGTATTTGTAGCAAAACTGTGGTTATACAAATGGTAGTCAATGTGCCAAAAAAAAATATTAATGCACGTTTCGCGGCAGTTTCAAAGTGAAATATCCAGTGACGTTACTTTTACTTTTATGAAATTTGAATCCTATCACTGTATGCTTAACATATTTAATTGCAATTTGAGTAAATTCTAGTAGCATCTCTAAGTTCATAGTGTCCAGCAATAAACCTCACATAAATGAAAAATAAATAACTCATGGCATTCTCTTTCTAAAAATGTTGATGCCAGCCGGGTTGCGCTGAAGAACAGCACCTAGCCAATGTCACTGCATCACACCACTTTATTTATAGTATTCTTGTGCTTTGAGCCAAGAATATTTTCTGTAAAAAAAAAAAACAAGACAGTGTTATTGGGGCTACTGAGCTTGAAGAGGCGCATAGGAGGAAAAGACTGTAAGAGAAACTTATTTCTGTTTGAACCATGTGATCAGACAAATGGTATGTTGACATTCAGATCCACAAATACATATACCACATAAATGGCACTGTCATCTCATGCTGATTTCTGCACTTATGCAACACGCAGATCACGTACAGTATGTCGTACCTACAGCATTTCTACATGCTGTAACACATAATACTTACAAACTAACTGCCACGACAGAAAGTGGCTAGTTTAACGAATTCACAGTCTGGAATAAAACACAGATGCATTCAGAAAAGTAATATTTCCCCCCTCAATTACATTTACATTTTGCACATTGTTTCAAAGCAGCTTTACATAAGCTGATGTAATGAGGACATTGCGAATGCTGCACCTTCAACGTATGTCTGAGATGACATTTTTATATACATGTGCTCTAATTGACCGTTTTCGATTGACAACTGAGACTAAATACAGCTGTCACATTACACTCAGTCATTACAGAAAAATGGGTCAACTACATATAGTAAAACTAGTCCTACATTTAAGAGCAAATCTGGGACACTAAAACAGACCAAACATTGCAGTATACAGCAAGACACTTTTACATGAGGTTTGAAATAATTTAATTTCAATTTTCAATATCACACCCTGTTGTGGTTTGTTATACCACTGATATTAAAATGGATTTAACTGATAATATGTGACCCTGGAGCACAAAACCAGTCATAAGGGTCAATTCTTCGAAATTGAGATTTATACATAATCTGAAAGATGAATAAATAAGCTTTACTTAATATCCTAATGATTTTTGGCATAAAAGAAAAATCGATAATTTTGACCCATACAATGTTTTTTTGGCTATTGCTACAAATACACCCCAGCGACTTAAGACTGCTTTTGTGCTCCAGGGTCACATATAATAATTATGTGGCATTTCAAACATTGAATATAAATATATAATGTTTCTGAAAATACACTATTTTTTGAGTGCATGATTGCATGTTTATGGGTAATTCATACTGAAAAAATAACGTGTTAATATTCTAAAATTTAAATTGTAATGACACATTTGGATGCTGAATGCTACCAGGAACTAAACAGGAATTTAAAAAGCATTCCAAGTCCAATTTTGAACGGCACCCAGTCTTTGCTGAAAGAAGCTTGACAAAGGCAGTTGTTGGCTGTTAAGTCGAATGATCTGAGATCTGTCATCAAGGGTGAGACGGTGCACATTCTTGCGGCCGACACAGGTGTGGTGCTGCCGACCATTTGGAGGGGGGTGAATATAATGAGGAATTGATAGCTGAAGTGCATGTGAAGACATGCTACACGTTGAACCATTGGAATAAAGGCTTCATTGAGCACACAGGAATGCGGGCTGAAGCTGTCTAAGATGTGGATGTGGTTCAAATCCCTGAGCCGCCACCACATGTTGCAATGCTGTCATCAAAGAGAAAACAAGCTGGAAGAAGGAACTCTAGAAATGAAGGCTTTGAGAGAAACCTCCCAAAAGCCTTTGAACACACAAGCATGCATGTCATTTCCCTCTCAATACTTCACAAATCATCTCTGCACTACTATTACTACACTCTAAAAAATGCTGGGTTGTTTCAACCCAACTTTGGGTCAAATACGGACTAACCTAACTTTTGGGTTAAAACTTCCCATAGTCCATATTTGACCCAACGTTGGGTTGAAACAACCCAGCATTTTTTAGAGTATATAGGATAGGAAATAATTCCATGGCTAATAATTGCAATGTCTGCTCAGGCTTTAAGTAATCTTTCAGGATCCTATTCACGTGTTTAAATTGTTGATTTATCAAGTTATTCTAGATTGCTCAACAACAAAAGATGAGAGAAAAAAGTAATATCTTGAAAAACAAATTTGTAAAACGAAAGTAATATATTTTATGACTGACACTTGTTAAATATCCAATAAGCGAAATGCAGAACAAATAGTTCATTTCTGCTTTTTGATGCAAAAAAAATTATTATATAATATATATTATACTACAAAAATAAAAACAGGCACTATTTAGTTAAAATTATAATAATAATAAAAATAATTAATACATAACAATTAAATAATTGTTTTGGGCTACATCTAACTAATGATCCTAAAATTAAACAAATGCTGTTTGGTGATCAATTTTCACTAGTAACTAACTATTAACTACGACTTTTGCCTCAATAAACTCCTAATTTGCTGCCTATTAATAGTTAGTAAGGTAGTTAAGTTTAGGTATGGTGTACTAGGGTAAAGAGATCTAAAGTATGGTCATGCAAATTAAAGCATTGCTTTATAAGTGCTAATAAACAGCCAATATGCTAGTAATATGCATGCTAGTTAACAGCGAGAACTGGTCCTTAATATAAATAATTTTAATTTATGCAAACTATATATTAAGTTGCATTAGTTCCTTAGAGAGCCACCAAATGGTGCTACATTTTGGAAGAGCAGATACTGAAGAACCGATAGCAGGAATATAAAGCAGTCCAAGTAACATCAGCATGAAAGCTGACACGAGCCAAAGCTGAACATATATTCTGGGGTCAGACGTACAGCGGCAGTCATGTGCTTTCCTGCTGTGTGTACATTAGATAAGCATTACATCACTACATCAGTTCTCAGAATGCAGCAGCAGTATACTGTGGGTGAAACAATCCCCCATGAGCCCCTGGGGCAGCATTCCTGTCGGCTGACACAGCAGCTCTTGCAACAGTCTGGGTTTTTTCCTCTTTTGCAGCTCAAGCTCAAATAACAAAGACTGAAAAACCTCCACCCACCCTTCACCCACAACTGTAATATTCTGTTAAGGTGGCAATTAACATTTTTTGAGCGCTAAAAAAAGCCCTGAAGCTAAATAAGGCTTATTTTGAGAGGTTTTAACTGCTTCAGCACTTCCCGTAACAAAGCAAATCAAAGCTTCTGGGAATGGCGCTCTTCTTAGGTGTGACTCTCTGTGCCAATGTTACAGAATACTTGCGAAATGTAACTGTTAATAATATTTACACTGCTTAAATGTGTCTAACCAAAGTGACACCTATTGCATCATCTATCTGCAGTGTTTCTGGGTCTTTTTGAAGCATGATAACTCTGATCAGTGTTTTGGTTGCACATCGGCATGAATAAAGCTGTTTTTTATGCCAGTGATGACATATATACACATTTTACTGGCTGATATTAAACCTATGAAGAACAGGATGTAGCTGTAAGATAACTCGAGTAAACACCTTAAGGCAATACTCACATGGAGGAAGTGAGATAAAGCTTATATTTCGGTACTTATCAGCATTATCTTGGAGCTTTTTCCATTTTGAACTGTTTTGTTGTTGAATGACAAAAAAGTATGTATACGTTTTAAGGCTTTATTGCATAAATTGCAAATATTCATAACAACACCTTTTCTAAAAACATTACCCTTAGGGCAAAAACCGGGTGGATGTTGACTGGACTGCTTACATGCACACGTTTAAAGTGAAAGCAGCTTTGATGCATAACATCAGCGCTGATTCCTGGAATCAACCTACCCAACCAGATTTAGTATGGGTTATATGCTCCTCAGAGTGGACACATCGTCAACAGAGTATAATGGAGTACTGTACATTGTAAAAGTTTCCATTTTGTGTTAATCTGAAATGCATCCAATTTTATTTTTATCAGATGAGAACGAACAACCAAAGACTCTTTATATTACACAAGGAATAGGAAGAAAGTTCACAATGACAACAAAAGGACATGCCATGCAAAAAGAAGTTGGAATAGCTTTCATCTTTCAAACATTTCAGCTCAAATCCCTACAGGTTTTACCATCATCGCGCCCCCAGGGGCCCGGCAGTGCTCCAAACATTTCAGATATGCAACATTCTTTATGAGATTCGTCAACAGTGGCAGGCGATTCAGAAGGCAGCTGCATGTAATTGGGTTGGTTAGGCCACAGTTACTCGCCCTTAAAGCGAGGAGGACGTTTCTCTTTGAACGCCTGCAAACCTTCCAGCCTGTCTTTGGTTGGGATCACCTAGGAGACAACAGAGTCGCATATATCAGAGGAACGCTGAAGCTGAGCTTCTTAAGAGCTAAATATAGTGGCTTCCTGAGTGATCTACGCCAGCGTTCGCGCTCTTCATGAAGAGCATTATGTTAACACTTGAAATGGCTGATACATAGCCTTATTATATAAAACTAAAGAATTGCATGCATTCTTTTGATATACTTAATTTTTGGGCATTTTGGCAGGAGAAACAGGAAAGGGAGGGGAAACAGAATTAGGAAAAGACCTCAAGCTGGGACTTGAACTCCAGTAAATTTGTCAGAGTGCCGCCCACATGGAAATGTTTATTCATCATTGTTAAAATGAATTACTCAATGTTGAAAACAAATGGGGTTTTTACTTCTGGAACCCAACCCAACAATATAAGATCAATATTTCATACAACAAAATTGTAGTTTGATTCTCAAGATTCATGGAAATGTTGATTGTGTAAACGTACCTGAGCATAACATGCCTCTTCAATAGCTAATCCGGTCTTCAAATCCACCTGGAAACAAATCAACAACATCATTCACCAGTCTTGCGTCATCAGTTGTCATCCGCAGACTGTTTATATCAACCACAATTACTGTATTAGCCGCGAGAGAAAGTCTGAAATGATGCTAAATGCGCACACAACACACTTTCTTTTCTCCTTGTAGCCGTAGGAAGAAACCAATAAACGTGCAAGAGCTCCTCATGACAACAAAGAGACCCACTTTTGTAAAAAACATAACTATCTGAACCCTTCATTAGAAAAATAACTGAATTTTAAGAAAATGTCCTTTGGCATTAGCAGCTCAATGGAGCTCTTTCTGTATGTAACTACTGCTCTTCTAAAAAAAAAAAAAGGTCAGACACAAAGAAGCTATTTTGCATCCTAGTGAAATTTATTTTTTTTCATTTTTGGAAATGACTATGTGGCAGCATTTGTGCAAAATTATTTTACATTGCTTCTTGCAGGTTTCAGGTGAGTGGCGCTAAAAGCACGTTCAGTTTTATGCAAGACAGAATACTATAAATCTGGCAAAGTTTTATTACAGTACACATCATGGCAGTTCTGAAACAAAATGTCCGGTAATTGGTGATAAATGTTAATCTGGTGTATCGCGGTTAAAAATAACGCAGCACCTACACTAAACCTAAACGATAGGGTTAACAAAAGCAAATGTGAGATAAAAGTGAATTTGCTGAGGCAACCATGCTGTTTTAGATTGCTTCTACAAGTCTTTGAGCTCTTTATCTTGTTCGTATTTCACGGGACTCGCATAAAAGCACTTCACATCACACGTACAATGCTTTACCAGGTGCGCTACTGAGCAAGTTTACTTTTTTAGATAAGCCATTCATACGGAGCTGCTTATGTGAGGGAAACGGCAAAATGCATGGGTTCACAAATCATGCACGATGATAAAAGGGTTTTGAGGTCATAACATGGTATTGTGCAAGGAACTGTACGAAAATAAGTCTTTATTTGATAATCCGCCTATGTAATCATAACTTGTGTGATAAAAGAATTAAAATCCGTTGGTGCTTTACTGGCACTAGTGTTCACTTTAGCTGGAAACGGCAGTGAATTGTATGTACGGTCACATTTTAGTTTGGGAACCAATTCTCACTATTAACTACGACTTTTGCCTCAAAGTCATAGTAATTTGATAAGGTAGTTAGGTATGGGGTGGATTAAAGGATCTAAAATATGGTCATGCTGAATAAGCCATTAGTATGTGCTTTATAAGTACTAATAAACCGCAAATATGTTAGTAATACGCATGCTAGTTAACAGTGAGAATTGGTCCCTAAACTAAAGTGTCCCCATATGTACAGATACTGTATGTTTTTGGAGTTTTGCAAAAATGCAGGTAGACGCACATTTTACCAATGCGCCTATGTTGGCATTTTCCTCTTTTAATGACTTCAACAGAATAGCTGAGGAGGTATCTGCTCTGTTAGGTCACTTCCTAAGGGACCTGTGGCCTGAGGGACCTGCGGTGTTGACAGGCCGGCCTCTGGGGTCAAGGTAATGTCATGAAGCAGACTCTCTCTTTGGTATCTCGGGTGACTTCACATACAAACACACTTTCACTGGTAAGCTTATACATGATGAGAAATGAGAGACGTACAGTGGGTAGTACAGCACAGCGGTTTATCTTATGCATCATGGTATGTCTGTTCTGATATGTTTGCTTACGGACAACACAATATGAAAATAAACATATCTTTTCAAATAGAGGAGATAATGTTTCCCTTATCTTTTTTTGTGACGCCAAAGGCAGTAAGATTCAAGTCACCTGGTTGTGCGAAATGGCCTCACTCTCAAAAGAATACAGCACAAGAAAACAACTCTTTATTTTTGGCCAAATAAGTCACGTGCAATCTTACCTCTATTCCCTGGTTGATTGCTAACTTCGCCATTCGAATTGCAATTGGCCCCTGCAAGAGAACAATCATCAAAGCTTCATTAGAACAGTGTACACTGAGAAACTCTCTGAATGGAGCAGCACAAGTGTTCATACCTGAGGGATGAATTCACGGGCCAGATCCAGAGCTCGCAGATACGCCGCATCTCCAGTCTTATTCTGCTCCACAGCGTGATTCACTAGGCCAAGACTCTTGGCTTCGTCACCGCTCAGCACCCGCGCCGCAAATATCAGCTCTTTAGCTACAGACACTCCTACAGTTCGTGGCAGACGCTGAGTTCCCCCTGCAGCCAGAACATGACAAATGTGATTCAAAGAGCCAGTTATTCTACTAGACATGTTGTTTAAATCTGTGACTGAGAATCACACTCCAAACATGTATGATTAAGTACATGACGGTTTAAAGGGGTGGTTCACTGGGTTTTTTCTAGGCTTGATTGTGTTTATGGGGTGCAGTCTAACATGTGTTAATGCTTCGTTTAAAAAAAAACGCATTATTTTACACATAATTTACCTTTATTCCACACAGCTCTGTCCCTTCTCTGAGAAACGGGCAGATCTTTTCCTGTTTTTATGAAGCCCCGCCCTCAGAAATAGGCGATGGGCTCTGATTGGTTAGCTAGCCCTGTGTGTTGTGATTGGCTAAACCGCCTCTAGTGCAGTCTAAACGTCCCGTCCCTCACCTCAGCAGCATGTGCTCCGGTTGTATTGTAAACAATGGCCATTCTGGCTGAGCTGATAAACAGCTCACGATCAGGGAAATATTCTTCCACTTTTACCCCTTTCATTCCTTTAGTTGTTTGTAGGAATTTTCTGATTTTCTCAAGTGTATAAGCACTTCTAACAGATCTTTTTTGTGACACTGAATTCACAGACCCTGAAGACTCACTTTCACTTTCTTGGGCAGACTCATCAGCGTTACTTATATCTGATTCCATCTGATTTGCAGGACTTTCATCACCTTTCCCTACCATTTCATCTCCAGTTACTTTCCTTGCTCTCTTCCCGTGACCTCTTTTCTTCATTTTTCGTTTTATTGCAGGTGTTTTAAAAACACTTTCATCCTCTACCATATCAGTACCTCCCTCACCTTCTGCTCCAAACAAATTAGCACCAATACTTGTTTTTTCAACTTCATTCACGACATTTTCCAAATCTCCTTTACTAGATTCTCCATTATCATTTCCATCTCTTTCTTCTGTATCAACACTTGATCCTTCACCAGTTTTTAACTGTCTTTGTTCATCATTTCTATCTTCACTTGCCTGCTCTTCATTTCTATTCTCATTCTGAGGCAACACCAAATCTTGCTTCACAGGACATGCACGAACTATATGTCCTTCCTGTCCGCAACCGAAACATTTAATGTTTTCTGAAGATGCATAAATCACATAGTCATAGTTTTCTACCCTAAATTTCATGGCTAGATTTAACTCCTCATTTTCATTTTTCAAAATCATGTGAGTCTGTCTTCTAAATGATACCACATGTTTCAACTGAGGTGATCTGCAACCTAGCGAAATCTTTCTGATTTTAGACACAATCTTACCATGTCTCATTAGTTCTCTTTCAATAATATCATCTCTGATAAATGGTGGTACATTTGAAAGCGTAATCCTTTTTGCCGGCTGAACCAAAGGCATTACAGGAGTAAACACATTATTAACGACAATCCCATTCTCTACAATGCCATTAACTTTTTCCACATTATCCAAAAAAATCACTATAGCGCTATTCATTCTAGCTGCAGACAGAATACTAACGTATCCAACTATTTCTGCAACTGCAATCGTGCATTCTTCAACAGAGCAGGCGCTCCGCGGGGATGATTTTAATGCCATGCCTCCGCGTTAAGTTATCATGTTCAGGGAGGTAAACATTGCGTTAGTGGGGTCGCGTCAACCTACGAAGTTGAAAAACATCCCGCGGCAACAGAGGAAAAGTTGCCTAATTCCGCGGGGAAAATGTGGATTTGGCAACACTTGCGCAGCACGCCGTCATACGGAAGTAAACACGGAGGATATAAAGTAAGCGATTATGCGTTTATTTATAGTGTGATCTGCTGCAGAAGCCAGCGAAATTGTGCACAGGCAATATGAAAAAATAAAGACAAGGATGTGACAAAAGAAAGCAGAGTTTTGAAACTTTTATGATACGAGCCCTCATGTTTTGCTTGTAGAGTTGTCACTGTAATACACATGAGTTCTGACACATCACACTTCCACTGATTACCTTTCGCTACTGTCTTGATAACTTTGGGTATGTAAAATCTTTGAAGTGTCTCCCATCAGCACGGAATTATAACGAATGTCGATCTAGAGTGACGTAAAAGCCGCATGAAATCCGACATGACCGTTCACACTGCGGTCGCATTGCAAAACATCTGACATGGATCGGATTAGTACCACATATGGAAGTGGCACACATCAGAATGGAAAAGATTAATGTAAACACAGCCCACTGTGAACACCCTTGTAATTCGCTTCAACCTTTTCGAATTTTATGAATTCTTTTATTATTTTAGGTTCAGGTGTGTGTAAGGATTTGGAAACAAGCAGAGTACGGCTGTTTCTAAAGCATGCAGCGCCATCTGCTGTTCAAAACTAAGCTCAGAATAGACTCGAGAAAGAATCGCGATGCATTCGGAAAATCTCAGAATCGATGCAGATTAATTTCTCGATTCGCGATACATTGATTTATTTTCCCAGCCCTAATTACTACTACTACACAACACTTTTCAACTAATTTTATTAAATCAAGTATGTTTAGGTTTATAACAGGTCTGGTTCTCACCTTATTGATGAGCGGGAATTGTAGTTTGCGAATAAAGCTGCAAATTATTTTATTAACGTCAGCTGCCTCCGTTATATAATTCTATAATACACACAAGTTAAAAATCGCTGAACGGCATAAATTATAAATTTATTATGCAGAATATTAGCGAAAGTGGGTTTCTCCGTTATCTCGCACATGACATAAGTGTGCTCCGGCCCGGAAAGTTTAGTTTAAGTGTGAGTGCAGGCCAGCGGGGGAGTGGAGGGGGGATAACTGCACTCGGGCTCGGTTCAAGGCAACTGTGCCTAGTGTGAGTACACCCTTAAATATTTTTATGTTCACAATTATGCACCCCGAGCCGCTAAAAATATGTGATGATTCAAGTCGGTTGAGATGTTAAACGAATCACGATACAATTGATAGTGGGAGGGAGTTCATTTGAATGTATCTCTGAGGAGAACTGACACATGCTGCGTCCCAATTCGCATACTATCCGTCCTAAATAGTATTCGAAAATAGAATTAGTATGTCCCAAATCACAGTGTTGAAAAGAGTATGCCAAAGATTCCTGGATGGTCTACTACTTGAGATTCAAAGTCGAAGTGCAGATCGATGCGCACTCTAACGGCTAATATTGCCCACAACACATTGCGAGGTGGACGAGGATTCCATTAGAACTACAAACACGCATAAAAAGTGTTTAAAAACTACAAACATGGCGGATATGCGAGACCGACTGACAGGCAGGGAAAGGGGTTTGCGTGATAAATAGCAAGGTCTAACCGGATTAAAAAATATGTATTTAATGTTATGCGCGTTATATTTAATTTGCAGCAACATTGTGAGCTTTTATAATGATACGTTTAGTCATTAACTTTTAAATGCATCATGCAATCATATGAAGAGAGTTCTCGTCATGATAGACCCGCGAATGGCAGATCAACGTGCTTCTTCATTTCTCTCCAATACGGTAGGAAATTAAATGAAACGAAATGTGGATGATGTTAACTGTGATAAGATGATTACAGTGCAGTTTAAACAGTGACAGAATGCACGTAACTAAGCAACAGAGCGTCCGTTAAAGACGCAGTTATGACGAAGTAGTATGTCCCAAAGCTTGCCTACTATTCTGCTACATACTCAAAAGTATGTACTTTTTCTTCACAAAAAGAGTACATACTTTTAGGGCATAGTATAAGTAGGCGAATTGGGACGCAGCAACAGTGTTTATAAGTGCAGCTCTGCTTTGTTTACAGCATTAACCAAGGAAACGCTGTTAATAAGCGCCACCTGCTGGCAGAGAGTGAATTTGCACCTCATTCAGCCCGTCTGCTGTTTCTGTTTTGTTCAGATGTTTTATTTAGTATAGTTTCACAAATCTAAAATCAGACCATTCTGTTTTTGATTCAAATGAGGAAATTAAACAATCAAATTTAAATCAAAAACTGCTAATGCTGCATGTATGCAGCATCTTTGTATGGATCGTGATTAAAATATAGTGGTTGGCTCGATTATTAAATGGAAAGCGCACAGTTTGTTTACATGAAGAGATTTCTTTTATTTGTATTATTTATTATTTTATTTGGGATTTGTTTAAAATTTGTAATTTAGTGTTGCTATTTGACATATTTCAATTTCACAAAGAAATGTGCAACATTTTGACTGAGAAATAATAAAAGATCACATTTACATTTATATTTTATCTTAAATATAATTTTGATTAAAAAAAAATTGTGAGAAAATTGCATTGTAAAATCAGTATCATGAATTGTATTGCATCGTGAGTTGAGTGAATCATTACAAAATATAGTAAATATTGAAAACAGTAATATTGTGAAACATTATTCCATTTAAAAGAACCGTTTTCTATTTTTTTTCCTATATTTTAGAGTTTTCAGCATCATTACTCCAGTCTTAAGTCTCACACGATCCTTCAGAAATCATTCTAATATGCTGATTTGAAACATTTCTTATTAATGCTGAAAACAGTTCTGTTGCTTAATTTTTTTATGGTAACCATGATACAATATTTCAAGGATTGTTTGATAAACAAAGCATTTGTTTGAAATAGAATAGACGCCATATACTTTGCTAGCACTCTCTCTCTCAGCAAGTTTTCTGATTGGCTGTGTCAGATTCTTGTTTTTCACTCTATGGTGTCTGTGCTTTCTAAGGCTGCTTTTTGTCAATTTTCAGATTTCAAAAAAACTGAATACAACATCTTTCATCTTTAAAGTGGAACAAATCTACTCATTTGAGCACAGGTCAGTTCTGATTAGAGCAAACTGAGCAAAACGTTTGTATTAAAAATGGCAAAGAGATAGGACACAAGAACTGTCTGATCAGCCACATTAATCATCTGAGAAATGCATGTTTAATTCACAGTTGCAACAATTCTCATGTGATCAATGCTTGTTGCACACATTGAAAGGTGTTGGTCTTTCACCATTGGAAGACAAACTCTCATGATACTGACTCACAGAGGAGGCTGAGCATTAGAAACACCTGA